GCGACAATTGCTCCGCCGACATTTGCTCCGCCGACAATTGCTCCGCCGACAATTATTGCTCCGCCTGAAGCGACAATTGCTCCGGTGACATTTGCTCCGACGACATTTGCTCCGCCGACAATTGCTCCGCCTGAAGCGACAATTGCTCCGGTGACATTTGCTCCGACGACATTTGCTCCGCCCAAAAAGTGTCCCATAAACTACAAATGCTATTAGTACTACGACAAATGCTTCGCCGACAATATTTTTTTTACACGGGTTATTTTCGTTTTTGTTTTTTTCTTCTTCATTTTCTGAATGCATTTCATGAAATAATGTATATGAAATGAAATCAATGAATGTTGATGAAGTGGGAGGAAAAAGGAGTTACCTAAAAGTCATTTCGAATATACTGAAATAACTTTCCATCTATCACTGTATGTCCCATATAATGTACACTAAACACTCATTACATGTCGTGGGAAGTTTTAAAAAAAAAGTAGAGCAGCAAGCCACATTCCCCAATACGCGCATACCTCCTAGTTAATTTCAAACAGCTCATCAATATGTAAGACCTGAAATAACCTCAATGCAAGCAAGCACATGCATCTTACTACAATGTACTAGTTCATCATGGAAGTTCTAGAAAACAACAGGGGAGGGATCAAAATAAGCTTTGAAGGGCACTTATACGTAGAGAAGAGAACCCATTCAGACGGGAAAATTAGATGGTAGCCTTTCTGCTTATTCCCATTTATACAAATCATTCTGTTGCAGTTTGATGTTAGTTCTTCATAATAAGCCAATTGCTCTTCTTCCGGTGGCTCCGTGAGTCCCTTAAAGTCAGTGAAAACAAAGTACTCGAATGAGACGGGGTGTTTTACACACTAATATATATATATATATACGTATATATATATATATATATATATATATATATAATTATAGTAAAGCTACATACACTTAACTGAAGGAAAGAAACCTATAGAAAACGGACTGGATATTATTGAAAATACTATTCTAAACAAGAATGTACTACATTACGTTACAATTTCACGAGAGAAATAGAACTCGAGAGGGGGAGAAGAGAAGAAGTGATGAAATTGAAAAAAGACTAATAGCATGAGAGGAAAGAAAAGAGCCAAGAAGACAAGAAAAGGGTGTAAAAAGGAAAAGGAGGAGCAGGAGAGAAAGAGAGAGAGATAGCCTTGAGCTTTGGATCAGCTAATGAGTAATACAGGAAACAGATTTTGAGCGGAGTAATTACCTTTCGCCGGAGAAGTTGCATAAGGAGCTATAACTCAATTTTCTCTTTTTAATCAAACATGGGGAATAGCAAAAAGCGGCTGAGCATTTATTGCACTAATTACCAGAGGAGCATTCATATCTTCCAAGAGGCCGCACTTTTGGATCGGAGAGCAATTTTATTGTTGGCGGAGCATTGTCTTTTAAGGGGTACTTTTGGGGAGGAGCAACAATTGTCGTAGTAGCCTTTGTATTGTACGGGGCAATTTTTGAGCGGAGCAAATGTCGGCGGAGCAATTGTCGGCGGAGCAATTATCGGCGGAGCAAATGTCACCGGAGCAATTGTCGCTTCAGGCGGAGCAATTGTCGGCGGAGCAATTGTCGGCGGAGCAATTGTCGGCGGAGCAAATGTCGGCGGAGCAAATGTCGGCGGAGCAAGTGTCGCTTCAGGCGGAGCAACTGTCGGCGGAGCAACTGTCGGCGGAGCATTTGACGTCGGAGCAAATGTCGCGGAGCAAATGTCGCGGAGCAATTGTCGCGTTTTGCGGAGTAAATGTCGGCGGAGCAATCGTCGGCGGAGCATGTGTCATGGAACCGCCTGAGCGCTAGTTACTTTGGCGGCTCGGCTATAAGCAGGATAATATTGTATAAGGGCCATGAACGTCACTGTGTAATGGATATGAGCACTTTATTAGAAACCGTTCTTATTATTCCTGTTGTTCATTTCCAGGAGACGTGGTTTATCATGGTAATGCCTCAGCTAGCGCAGGACCTGAGCTATTTGAGATATTTGACCTCATCCCCTATTCGATCTACAGGATTAGGATCAGAGCTTGGAACTATGAACTAGCAGGGGAGTATGGTCCAGCGATTTGGGCACAGACAGATGAATCAAGTAGGTTTCAAAATGCATGTCTTCTAGTTCTATTTTGCTAACGACGAAAATTATATCTATTTCCAATATATATTTGTTTACAATGTCAACGGCGTATCTACAGAACCAGAAATACAACTCTGATAAAAATCATTTTGTAATCAACAGTTTGGAATTGATCATATACAGGAACTAATGGTATGCGACATGTACTTGTACACATCTTTAATTTGTTTTGTTGTTACATTATTCGCCCTTTTTTGTATCCCCTCCTCTTTTAAAATCAATGGAAACCTAATTAAGTATTTATTTCCAGTCATAAATAAGACGTAATGGAGTAATCTTGAATTCTAGATTTCGTGCACCCAAAACCCTTATTGACAGCTGTCCAGGATGGGTTACTGATTCTGAGTGTGCTTGTGTACAATATGCGAGTAAAAGAAGACAATATTATTGCTTCGAAATATTTTGCTCCTTTCAAAAGCATAGTCAAAGTTATAATTATTTAATGTTTTTAACATTACTCGTTAAATTCTATCTTCCGCCAACATTGCTAGTCAGTGGATTCTCTTTAGGAATTTTCGACAGAAAACGAAACATCGATTTTATACTTTTTCCAACGTGTCAGTGATAGATCATTGAGTTGTTTCGTTCATAATTATCCTACGAATTTTCTCTATGATATGTACATTAAAGAGCCAGCGCCACCAATCGAAGTAAAGCTTCCATCTTCCGACCAGGAGAGCATCACAGTAGAATGGATGTCACCGAACCCTCCTCTAGGCAGGATAATAGGTTACTACATTCTCTACTGGGAGGCGGATGATGTTGGTGCCACTCCTCAGACCTTCGGCATCGAGTGTCGGGACGGGCTGTGCTCTGACATTAACGACAGGTTTTCCACAATTATTCCCGATCTCCAGCGGGACACAAATTATTCCGTTCAGGCAAGTGTAATTCGTGTAAATGGATTCTGTATATTAATAATAAGATGAAAATATTTTTTTCATTAATAATATGATAACGAACTCATGGTTTAAAATAGTATTCATTCGTATAAAGCGTTGTGAAGATATTACTAAAAGAGGTAAAGCTTCACGATATGTTAGTTGTAAGACAGCTCATTATAGAACTTAAGGGATGCCTTTCAAAGGATGACGCGGGTAGAACCAGGAGAAGTGAATTGAAGGTTTCCCGACTTTTCTAATGGAATATGAAAAAAGAAAAGAAATATGAGTATGGTCAAAATAAAAAATTACACCATCTTGGTAAAAAAAAGTCAGGAGGTCCATATCTTTTCCGTCCATCCATTCAAGGTCAATCTCTAAATTTCCATAATTTATTCTACTCTGTAAGTCGTTTCCCGTTCTACATCTCTCTTTTCTATCACCATGTTTTTCTTCAAATATACAGGTCATGGCGGAAACCATTCTAGGTTTTGGTAGCCCAAGCCCGGACCCACCCGTTGTCAGGATTACATCAGAAGGAAGTACGATATTCATTTTCTCATTGCTATGATGTCCCATGTAGATCAAATCAATTATTATAGAAATATTATCACCCCATTCGAAATAGGGAGAAAAAAAAGAAACGTTGAGTAACATGTTAACAAAAACCATAAAACCCCCACATGTTCATAGAACACAATCGCAGAGACTTTCAAGAAATCAACTCAAGGGTGATTTCAATACCGTATATCGTATTGGCTATGTAAAAGACATTGTCAGATTACGTAATAACGCCGTTGAAAACTTCGCACATTTTATTTGATGAGGCACAAGGCTATTGAAACTGCCTTATGGCAATAATTCAAAGATTTTTCGATGATAATGATAATAATAAAAATAATAATAATATTGGATATTTATATAGCGCACAAATCCACCCTGCAAGGTGCTCAAAGCATATGTCTGATTTACCCAGGGTAGCCTCATTTGTGTTTAAACTGTTCTCACTGAGGGCCCTGGAATCATGTCATTATCCCGGCTTTAGCCGAGCTACCATGGAAAGGTGCGCAAGCATTGCAGGAATGTCTTCCTACTGGGCACCCATTCTCCTCACCTGGGTGGAGTGTGGCAAATGTAGATTAATATCTTGCCAAAAGACATTAGTGCCGCGGCGGGACTCGTTAGATGGAAGTGTTCATGTACATGATGTAACTAACCATGAGTGTTTGTTTGGACAGCATGATATCCCATAATCCCCGAGTATTATCTAGTTATCAGTTAAGTGTATGCAAGGAATGACTGCATGGCTACCTAAAAATAAAGGATGATGAATCCTATCACCATGTATTGCAAAAGTGATCATTGCATGGAGTTTTTATCTCAAACGCCTTGGATCAATTCGAGTGGCAGTAATCACGCATGCTTCCTGCAATGCTATGGAGGCCGTTGATGACTTTATTGACATGCCCCAGACGTATGGAAAAGGGCACACGTGTGCTAAATAACAGGCATACGTCTGCTAATTGACCAATCACCGCCTGTTATTTAGCAGACATGTGCAAGGTGCGATAGCACACATCTGCTAGTTTATTAGCACAAGTGTGCCCTTTTCCATACGTCTGGGGCATGTGAATAAAGTCAGCAACGGCCTTCCATAGCTTTGCAGGAAGCACGCGTGATTACTGCCACTCGAATTGATCCAAGGCGCCTGACTATTCAAATTACACGAATCTACAGTAAATGTTATATCACTGATATTCCCTTCATAAATACAGCGCAAAATAATGCAAAGAGAGAGAGAGAGAGAAACGAAAATGTTTTGTCAATGCTATAATTTGTGAGAAGCTTCTAACCTTAAACAAGAAGATCGTATACAAATATTGACTTGTATTTACTTCATTATTAATCTTATATCCTGCTTTACAGTTCCTAGTGAGCCCCAGGAGGTGGCTGTTTCCAGCGGATCAAAATCTTTGCTGATTACCTGGAAGGAGCCGAGGTACCCCCGTGGAAAAATATCCTATACGGTAACCTCAAAACTAAAATTCAAACGAAGATCTAATGATGGTTTCTGTGTATCCGAACTGTAATTATTGTTCTAACATTCTCTCTGGAGTTCTCTTCTTTATCAATTATTGTTTTCTTCTAAATTAAGTTACCAGTATTTTCTGTTAGATTAATGCAAAACGTGAACTATTATGGATCATTGAATGAAAAAGAACTTTCTAAACTAGTACTGCTGCGATCATTTTCGGCAATATGTCGCCGAATGGTTTCATCCGATTGCTGAAATAGGATCGAAATCTTGATGTATAACTACATTTAAACAATTTCTAAAGGAAACATGTTTTTGTTTAAATATATGAACGAGAAGGAGTAAATTCATGACCAAACTGTTCATTTCTATGCTGAAGTATGGGCACAATTGTGGCTTTTGTCCAACCAATATTTTCAGATGAGCCAAATAAGCTTCTCTTTGTAGTTTACCAGTTGGCGATTCAAGTCTCAATAACGAAAGTCTTTGGGACACCCCCAGATCTTTTTTTAATGGAGTTGCATATTACCGATTTTTTGAAAATGAAGTTCCCGAAGTAATTGCAAATATCCCTACCGTGACCTCAAAACACATCAGTGGATGACAGCATTATTCACAATTGTGTTTTCGGGTCTCTCTCTCTCTCACTCTCTCTCCCTCTCTCACCTTTTCTTTCTCTCTCTCTCACTTTTTAATCTCTCTCTCTAGCTGGCTTACAAAGTAAAAGGAAAGCCATACGACAGATCATTCCAGCCAGAAGAATCGTTTACAATGAAGGAGGTAGCGGGAGCCTCTACGAGCTATGTGCTTGGTGATCTGGAGCCAGCTACACTCTATGAGGTCTACGTGGTAGCGTCCACTAGCAAAGGGGATGGGGAGTCTAGTCAGCATGTTGAAGAATTTACAGAACCTCCTGCAGGTATTGGAAGAAACATGTTGGAAGTTGGAAGTTATGAGACATGACCATACTTTAAACGGGGTTATAATTTTGTGAAAGGGGAGTGTCAAAATTGTCATAAAGGTCAAATACTATTGTAAATTTACATGATAAAAAAGTAACAAAGTAAATACGATTGTAAATGGTTTTATCTCCATCTATCTTGATAATGAAGTTGACGACAATTGGCCAATCCCGTTAACACTAAACTTGTCTTTGCATGAATGTTAGCATATATTTTAAGGGTGTTTATTATCTCTGACCACGGACCCCAATGTTTAACCATTTCAAATCTCTATGACAGCTCCAAATTATTAAAAAAACACTGCTTACACGATTCTTTATAAATCTAGATGATGAGGTTCGATTTACAGCAGGGACAACAAGTCCAGGTGCCACGTGGTAGATAGAAGGACTTTACTGCAACCGTCTACTACTTTAAAAACAAATTAAAAACAAGAAAGTACCATTAATATCGAACTTTTATTGCTAACATATGCCGGATACAAGGTCTAAGAGAGATGATTAGCATTTTCTTACTAGTCTTGCAGGTTTACTTAACGTGTGCAACTCTAAACAGAGAATATTATTGATTTTAATATTGGATAAAAGTCATCGTTCAATGATGTTTAAGTTTGATGTTGACATCTCTTTTTTGTAACGTGCCATAGCTGACGAGCTTCCAAAGCCCAACCCACCAGTGATAGTATCTTCCCCTGACGGTTCGCCTACCATTCAGTTTAGCGATGTGCTTGAATCTCCATATATAACGTAAGTATATAGCTACATATTCCAAGCGATGATTTTCGACCTTTAATGATATAAATGTTTGAATCATGACTGTGAATAATTAGGCCAGCGCTTAGAAACAGTAGTAATAATCGCTATATAGATGCTATTACGTTATTCTTATCGTTATTATTATTATCATGATTGAATTTATTATTACTACCAATGATACCATCATCGTCATTTTTATTTTATCATTGTACCAACGTCTGTCTTTCTAGCGCACTGCTCTTGATCTGCGCAATGTTTTTTTTAAAGGGAGAAGCCGGGAATGCATTTAGTGGGCCAACGGGTTTCGGTACTGTCTTTGAGACAAGACGGATGGCCATTGCTAGCGTCAGTGTGAATCCTCATTCCTCCTACATTTTCATCATACCTCTCACAACTTTGTTAATGTACAAGCTCTTGGTGTATTAATTGGTATATGGGTAAATTCATTCATTCATAAATTGTGAAGGCTACTTTACATCAAAAAGTAATGTTACATTCGGTCTGCCAGTCTCATGTCATGGAAAGATGTATAAAAGCTGGAGCGTCAACATTATTTGCACAAGGGCCTAAATTGATATTAATTTCCTCATCCTTGCTTTAGAATAAAATAATAGTTATTAAAATAAAGGAAAAAGTGACAAGAGGGTATATAATCATGGCAAATATCCCTTTGAACTCTCAGGCACATACTTGTTGCTGTTGAAGAGAGACTTCCGGTAGCAAGGCGCCGACGTCAACAGGCAGCGTATGGATCCTATGCCGAGAATCCCTCCTCATACATAGCAGCTAACATCAGCAAAGATGATCTTCCGATAGAGCTAACTATAGGGGATAATGAGACTTATGGACATTACCACAATGCACCCCTCAGAGACAAGGCGATATATGATGTACGAACAGGTGTTGAGAGCAACGTTGGAGGACAGGTACGATTTTTCGTTGGACGTAAATGTCCCAAGTGACTGTCGGCCTACACGATGTAGTGGCCTACGGTTTCGTAGCATAATTATATTGTGGAAATAATGTTTAGGTGCAAATATCGTCGAAAATACATAGGTCACATTTGCCGCCGCGGCCGTGCAGTCTAAAAATCTACGGCCAATAGAGCGCAGCAGCATTCCCACGGTCACATACGGTAGCGGTCACATAATTATGTTAGGTAGCCGCACGGCGTATTTTGAATTTGTGGAGACAGAAAATCTGCGACTGCCGTACGGCCTCTGAAGTGATGACGCAAGGTCGCCTTAGGGCGTCCCTGCGGCGGCCTTAGCTTTTTGAAAAATACTAAGACAGACGCAATGTAGCCGCAAGGTGCCCACATGGCGGCCGGAGGGGGACCATAAGGCGACTGTGCGTCATCACTTCAAAGGATGTACGGCAGCCTCAGATTTTCGGTCTCCACAAATTCAAAATACGCCGTGCGGCTACCTAACATATGTGACCGTGGGAAAGCTGCGGCAGTCCTATAATTGTCATTAGCCGTAGACATTTTAGACCGCACGGCCGCGGCGGCAAATGTGACCTAGGCATTAGGAACAATCATGAGGGGCGTAAGGATTTGTGGTTGCGTCGTGTGTAACTGAAATTGTGATCATTGTCTAATTAAATATTGCTTGTACACTAGTTCATCTTATCAGAAATATGCAACGTGTGGTCACATTATGGATCAAAGAATTCAAGTGTTATAGGTTAGCCTTTTAGAGAATAACAATATTCTTTAAAGATTCGTGCTACACAATTTGATGGACCATTAAAGATAAGCCAGGTTTTTAAACTTAAAGGGGAATTAACCTCGCGACTATGATTTATTATCATGACAGAGAAAGTAAAACAATGTTTCATTTGATATAAAAAGCATTGCTGTAGGCCAAATCATAGCGTCCTTGCAAGGCCAATAAAGGGACCCTAATTCGCCATATTTCAGACGTCGTCTGCTGCCCAAGGAAGCTGCCATCTTGTCGAAATTTCCCTTCCACAACATCCGGGTTGTGACGTATCGCACGGAGAACTGATGTAGCGCGGCGCGCGTGTTAAATGCAATACGCGTCAAACAGTGTACTGCCAAGAGTTTGGGTGTAATAATTCGTTCCTGTTTTCACGAAGTGACGGTAGTGAGGAAAATCTGCACGCAAATTGTATGCGATTTTCATTTACTACCGTTACTTCGTGAAAATAGGGACGAATTGTTCCAGTGAATTATTCCTGGAAACCAGGGGGAAATCGTTTCATCGATTACTAGACCCACACAATCGCAATGAAATTTTCAAGCTATAGCAGCTCTGAAGGTGGAACAATTTCTGTACAAAAAGTACAAGTACGACAGGAAAGACGATGTGATCTGCAGTGATCATTTTATAGTGCACAGCAGGGAAACCTACGTACGCAATATCGGTCGACTCCATGCGAAACGTCACAGAACGGGCCGTGCGCAAGCACAATGGAGACGTACTTAAAGTTTCCAGAGCCGTAAAAGACGAAAGATTCTGAAGAAGAGTTACGTCCTCCCTTTCGTCAAAATGTGTATTTCAGATTAATGTTTTTAATAACCAACAAACTGAAATTTACATGTAGATTGAGGTTAATTCCCCTTAAATCGCCTTTATGAATTCAACAAAATTGAAAGTGGGCTAATTACCTGTCAAAACCTTTAAGTTCACGTGGAAGTGCAGAATATTTGGCTATTGTATGTATATCGTAGAAGCGCTAAAATGTGCTATGCGCTTCCCTAGTATAGAAAAGGTTCTACTAAACTTCATTAAAACTGCCACTAGATAAATACACGAACATTTCATTTCAAAACATTATCAGCTAATTTCTTGATTACCTTTTATTTAGAAATCCACCCTTTTCGGAGATCCATCTGAAGTACAGCCAGGTAGGAACGCATATTTTATTAGATTCTTGTACATTTTAGTTTGAAAGTGCTTTAGCTTTTGAATGGAAATTGGCCTACGATTTAGCAGATATGGCACATTTCCATTACATGAACGTTTAACTTCTTTTTCCGAACTTACGGATCTCTTCACTATGTTCAATATCACTGCTCTCAATATCACAATTAACTACGAATTTGTAAGCATACATTGTTAATTAGTTCCTAAACAAAAATTGTTCTCTACGATCCGGAAATGAAAGTAGTAAATGCAGTCAAAATTCATTGAGCAGATTTCTCGAAGTTAATGACTTTTACCCAAGATTCCTGATTTGCATCAATTTTGGATGCAAGGTCTGGCTAAGTAATGAATATCTATACGACTATAGCTATTTTTTAAAAGCAAAAGTGTCTACAGCTTGGTCGCTTTGTTCATTGCGTATGTTCCTTCAGACCCCGGAATTTCGCGCCCCAATATAAGATATACATTTTATACAGTACTCTCTCAAGAGTTCTAGACATTTTCAATGCAAATGCATTTGCGTGCTCCCTATTTTATGATTTTTGTTAAACATATATAAGGCAAAGGGTAAATGCAAAACCGTATAAAGTGATTTGTGATGGCTCAAAATTCAAAAGAAATTGAGCTATTTTTGTTCTTATCCCTCGATACGCCACCGAATACAACATTTTTGTATAGATGATTTGACAAGAGAGTCAACTTCATAAAACACGTATCGAATCATGAGTTTGTCCTGGTGAACGTCTACTCTATGTGGCGTTGTGTAGGCCCGGGAGCGCATATTTTTTTTACACAACTGTTTAGCCATTTTCGTGAAAAAAATTTCCTAGAAGTGCTCTGGTGAAAGAGTCTAAGTCGTCAGCGCACAGGTACACCCAGCGCACACTCCCAGGGAAGGGCAGGTGGTAGAAAAGGGAAAACAAGGAGAGTGGAGAGGATATGGAGAAGGAAAAACATAAAAATACATAACGGAAGAGCTAAGAGGATTATAGATTCGGGTATAGACTAAGGAAAAACAAAGAAATAGATGACGAAGGAGAAAAGGATAGATTGAAGTAGAAACAAAGAATTACATAAAACAAAAGAGAAGAGGATAGAATAAAGGAGAACAAAAGAAATACATAACGATCGACTAAAGGAAAAACAAAGAAAAAACCATAACGAAGGAGAAAAGGATAGATTGAAGGATATCTTCAGCAATCCGAAGCTACTGCTAAGTGTAATGTTAGACTCTGTCTCTAGTCGTTTGCACAGTATATTTGACTGAACTGGCTAAACAGTTGTGATACCAAAATATGCGCGGCCCGGGAAGACCAATGGCCTACTACTTTTGTTGTTATGGTCGTTATAACGGAGAGCCTTACGTTACCCTTACGATGAGATTATAAATTATAAGAGAATTTTTTTTCACTATCCGTAATGATTACTTCTATTTATTTATCTTTGCTAGTAGACGACCTATTGGGAACGGTTTGATTGCATGAAATTACAATTAATTATAATCATGTGGTAGTATCTGATTTATTTATCATTTATCTATCAACTCTGATGCTACCTTGATATTTTTATCTCCTGTCTTTTCTTTTCACTACCATCCGTCTTCCCACAACATCCTCTTCACCTACTGTCTCTTCTCCATCAACATCAAATTCAGCTGGAGTTCCTTCAGGTTCCATAGCAACTGTCGTAGGAAGCGCTGTTGGTGCTATTCTTGTGATTGTTATCGTTATATTTCTCATCATCATCTTTTACAAGCGAAGAAGGTTAGAGAGGTACCTTGTGCTTAACCCTAATAAGGCCGGGCTATTTGAAGTCTTACTACGGCCGGGGGGGGGGCCATTATGGCCCCCCCCTAAGATCTCGGCCGTGAAACGGCCGATCTCCGCGAAAATTTGCACGCATGTCAGGTGAAGTGTATAGAACAATATGATAATTTCAATTTTTTGAAAAAAATCCCTCATTTGCATATTTATGGTAATTTATGCAAATAACGTCATAAAATCACATTTTTACCCATAAATCCTATATTATTCATATTTAAGCATTCTTTTTCACTACATATATTCATTAGACCATTTGGAACAATAATAAGACAAAACAAATTAGAAGAGCCAGCTTATTCCTTATGTTATCTCTTGTTTTGATAATTTCTTATGTATTTCATTGTTTTTTTAACTTATTTATGTTATTGTTTTTTTTTTTCTTTTTCATTTCTTCCTACAATTCAACTATTTTGACTCCCAAAACAACCACCTAAACTTTAAACAAGACCCAATAACCAATGTTTGATCTATTTTTAGGAAAAATGACATTTCCATATGTTTTGTACACAAATCACAAAAATGAGCGATTTTCGGGCTGACATGCAAAGACAAAAGGTCACGTGACCTTGTAACTATAGGTCCGATTTTTTTTTTTTTTTTTTTAAAGATGCGCAAGACTCTAAAGAAAAAAGTCAGCGAGCGGCGAGGCGCCTTCCATATGCGTTCTCGAAAAATCAGAAAAATCGTGGAGGGGGGGCCATAATGGCCCCCCCCCCCGGCCTTATTAGGGTTAACTTGTCCCTCTCATCAGTCCATTTTCATCGAAATCCTCCATGCAAGATGCTAAAACCGTATGGCCATGTAAATAAAATCTAAATATGATTGTATTAAAAAAATATAGGCCTATATATAAAGTTATATTGTTGCCTTTTTTTTCTTCTTTCAAATGCTATTAAATGGAAATATTCTAAAGCATAACTCTTTTAGAATGTTATGGCAATCCGCTTGAAAAGACCTATTATGTTAATGATATGCATTTTAAAATTACCATACCACTTACCACATTTAATGTTGACATGTTTCTATATGTCTATTTATTGGGAATTGATAATTTGTTTAATTATGCATTTCATCAAGGCAATTTATGTATGCTTTCATAATATTAACTTTCAGCGATGAATCAGCCACTACTAGGTCTAAAGGGAAGGAGTCCGATTCGTCTCCGCAGTACGAAAACCCGGTATTTGATCCGTCAAAATATAGACGTCAATACCTATCAAGGCTTGAACACTGACATTCATAACTACCAAGATGTTAATACCGATGCTGTGAGCTACGGTAATCTTGCCGACGCTCAGACCGACCAAGATCCAAAGGAACCTGATCAAGAAGCTATATACGAAGACATCAATACAGAATATGTCAACGTGCTCAAGAAGAATTGAATACATTAGAAGAAGGAAGATCCAAGTCAATCGCAATGATTTTGAGTCATCAAGAATTTAAACAAATTAAGAGGGATAACATATTTTCAGTCTTAATTTATTAAAAATATATTTTCATGTATCAATCATTTCATCAAAAAGAAACCATACCTTAAATCTTATCACGAAATATTAAAGATTATCTTAATAGCTGAAAGAAAAACTATTCTGATGGACTTGGGCGTTTTTCTTCATGCATCCCATTAGAATACTATGACGAAAAGTTGTCAAAAACTATCATGGCTTCCTGTCCGTCGTCTTGTGCTTCTCTTTCTTTGTTTATTTACACCTTGTCTACTCGGGTTATTCCCAAATCTTTTGATATCGGGGATCACTCGAAATGTTCCCTTTTGAATAACATGATTCGCACAAGTCTAAAAAATTTGGGTAAAAATAGTTGTAGATCTTAGGTCCCACACTACATGAAAGTCAGGGTATGGGATGAGTTTCTTTAAATGTACATATGTATATATACTTATCCTCGTTCATTGAAGTTTGTTTTCTACTTTCATTTCCTGAATAATGTGAATGTATAGGAACGCATGAATTTTACATCATGGAGCAAGAAAGATAATTCTATTTTCGATTTTTTTTTTCTTCTCCCTTCTTTATCATCTGCTGAGATTTCTGATGAAAACGATTTTAGAAATATAAGATATGTTTTTGAATTATTCAATGCAGGTATAAGTATAAAGGAAAACTTATTGAGTCATGTATATACACGTGAAATACAAGGCATGTTCCATCATGTTAATCGTGTTTTGAGGTAGGCTATCAGTAGGACAATACAATATTCCGCTGTATGTTTTGTCTGCATGGATTACTAGTGTTAACGCCTGCTATTTCTGGTGTAAAGCATTATTACCCCATTCTTTGACAAGAATGAATAAATTACCAATTATTATTATTGTCATTATTATTATCATTATTATCATTATTACTATCATCATTATTATTATCATTATTGTTATCATCATTATTATTATCATTTGTATTATTATTTCTACTTCTACTAAGCAGTGGAATTCAATTTGATTAATAGGTCAGCGATAATGTGATAGAATGTGAACAATGAATTACGAAAATATAAGTTGTGAATATAAACATAAACTACGCATCATAACATTTATGTGAAAGCTTTGTGTCATGTAATGGTGGATGTTTAGGAAAAGAATTGTAAATAGTAGAATTAGAAGTTAATTAATAGAGTTAGATAATGCAATCCAAATCAACATTTATATATTTCCATATGAGCAGGAAATGTTTAGGCGCATATTAAATGTGAATACTGATAACTAAAAATATAGAACACACAATATGTAACCCTTAAAGAAGTGTAAACAATAAAGAATACAACAACAAAAATAAAGTTATTTTGTTTGGTGTAAGCTCGTCAATTAGCACTTTGAACGTTTCTCAACTAAAATGAATCCCTCAGATTATTAAGGCAGTTTGGAATTTGCAGACAGTGCTAACAGTCCGCCGAATACCAGCCAGATTACTTTGCGGTAACAATTAATACCAACAAAAAAATGCAATAATCAGGAAAAGATGATTATACAAAAATCACTTCCGAGATGATTTGCCAGTGTTTCTAACCGTCTGAGTATACTTCTTTTAATGGTGGATGATGGCGTTGTTGAAAAGTAAATGTCAGGCTGATTTGCATTTACAGAAGTTTTAATTGATGTTGTATTGCAAATTGTAAACACCGCGCCATTACACGTCGTTTGTAGATCTCCATTCAGATATACCATTCAATCTACCCTGACTTAGCAAAGTTTGTCCAACAAAAACCCAACAGAGAGGGCATTTCAATACTCATCTTTCTGGGGCCCGTTCTTCGATACCAACGACATAACAGTCACAACGATACTATTGGCGGGAAGAGGAGCCTACGCTTTGTTTTTGAGATCGGTCCCCTCAAATATTTTCATTTGATAGTTTAAGAAAAATACAACTTTATAATTTTCGTAGTCAAAATACGATGCTATGAAATTTGCGGTTGATGTTTTAGGCTTCAACAAAACAGTAAAATGACACAATTTAGTTTTAGTTCAGGTTTCAGTTTTAGTTGTCATATATATTTCACATTCAGGCTAACTTACGTTTTGTGAGTTGAAACATAAACTTGAGACTTGTTTAAATGTTTTAAACTATTTAGTTTATACATTTGGGATCTTGACATTAATATGGGTCTGAAAACTAGAGAATATACTTCTGACTATGGTTTGCCTGCGGTGGCAGATTAACCCTCCCTTCAAGGATTTACCGTTTTCAAAGAAAGAGTTGTAGAAAACTTTAACATGTAAACGTTAGGTCAACCGTTGGTTGTCAGAGACTTTAAGATGATCTAAAACCTACACCTACTACGAATCAGTTATATTTAGAATCGGTAAATCTTAATTTTTGTCATGAATTAATGTTCTTCTAAATACCTGCTTTGATCCGTGTATTCTCTTGTTTACTGTGTAATGAATAAATGGGAGATTTATGGGATATTAATATTACAAATGTTGAACCTCTTTATTCCATCACATTTTATAATGCTTTATATATCTTTAGTACCTTCCATGCATATCCCTTTACTTTTTTTGCAGGCCTATCTAACAATTTTCTTCGTTGTTTCTCCTTTTTTCCTTTTTTGTTGTTGTTGTCTTAATGTTTGTTAGTTTTCTTTATTATCATGTATTTTATGTTTCATTTCCCTTTATATTTTACGCAATAACCTAAGTTCAAAATATAAATTTGTAATAACAATGTGGAAACAAATGCGTAAAATCAGTTCAATTTAGTTACAACCTTAAATATGAGCATGACATATTTTCACAAATTAGTCATAATTGTATAAAGAAAAATATATCAAGAGTGTGCAGAAAGATCATAGCTGGAATATTCCGTGTCCCTTTTTGCCTGTCATAGTCTAGACTACCCGATAAATGACATGTGATAGCGCCACACATCGACTGAAAAGTTATAGAGATGTAACAGGGTTAGAGGCGTCATAACTTGTTATAGTCAGTATGTTGTCCTCGATCTCGGCAAAGACGGCTTCGTGAAAAGAGTAATAGGGTGCGTTTAAGCTTAAATTTTGAAGGCAGAATGAGCGATTTGTAACGCTCATCGTAAACGCTCATCGTAATCGCAGTTCCACGGTGTACTGTTTATGCTTACTTCTCTGGCTCCTCCAGGCAATTCTCCCTGTGTGGCCTTAATTAGTCTTCCAGCTGGATTCGCAAACCTTCACTGTGCATGCTACGTAGACCCACTAGAGGTCAGTGCGTTGACCCCATTTAAACGCGTTTACAAATTGTAAACGCATCTTTTTGTGAGTTTACGATCGGCGATCGTGATCGCCGTTTTTCGGTGATTCTACAAAAGTGAGCATGGACGCAACCGTGTTTTAAACTAAACGCGTAACAGATGCCTGATTCTGGCCAGAAAAAGTGAAGCATAAACACGCCCTTAGACAAGTAGCTGGGAAATTGCACTACATATAGTTAGCAGCTGATAAGGGGAAATGAATGTGTGACCTTGCATGTTAAAACGCTTATACACCTCATTCAAGATCGCGGTTGTTCATGCTATACATGCACAATTGACAAGGACATAACAAGGCAGTGAGCCACGAGGCGTATTTCATGAGAATATACTTAGCTCAACAGTAACTAGTTCAACGTTAAAGATAAACTTGAGTTATGGTAAAAAAAGAAAAATGAACTCTCACAGAATCAAACGAAACTTACACTGAATGTTCAAGATTACAAATAAATGTCATTTGCCGAACCATTTTGGTAGAAAATGTATACTGGCAGCTAGTATACATTTAATGAGCATAGCTTAAATACATTTAACCTTTTTATAAAGAGAATGTTTAAACAAAAACCTGTTTGATAAATGTTGCCTTGCCAGTCCCTATTCTGTGTTTTTATTGTTTCGTATTTTTTAAAAGCTTTAATGGCCTGAGTTTACAATGAACTGACAGTGTTACATTTAGAGTTGTTTGGATCCAGAAGGGCATTGATGCTGTATAACAATGATAGGAGTCAATGCCCTTCTGACTCCATACAGACAGAAATGTGGTGTTTGTATTAGATTTCTCATTTTGTATTTACCGTTAGAGTTTCTCATTCTGAATGGAAATAATCTCCACCTTCAATATGATATCATGGAATCAACAGAGATACAAAATGAAGCATTTATAAACATGCCCAGAAGGCCAGAACTGAGTACTGAAAAGGACGTCGTAAAGCTTACAGCTTGAAGTGTATGTCGCCCTCAATTTACATGTTTAAAAACAGAGTGGAGTGACTGAGACTGAGAGAGGGAAGTAACATGCCTATTACATGCAGTGTTACGGACAATGCCTTCTCGGCTCTTTTACACCTGCAGTGATACTATTATAAGGAAAAAATGACTGTTTTGAGGGGCACAGTTAAAATTAAAGAAAGAGAGAACTGTGGAACAGACTACTACAGAGAAAGAGAGAGAGTGAGAGGGAGAGTGGGGGAGAGAGAAAGAGAGGGGGAAGAGAGAGAGAGAGGGGGAGAAAGAGAGAGAATTGTGGTACTGAGGGAGAGAGAGAGTGAGAGGAAGAGAAATATACAGAGACGAAGAAAGTATAGAACATTTTTGTAAGAGGGAGAACGGTGGTATAGAGCGGGAGAGAGAGAGAGAAGGGGTTAAAGGAAAAGAAAGAGAGATAGAGAAAAAAGAGGAAGAGAGTATGGAATAGAGAACTGTGGTGCAGAGAGAGAGAGAGAGAGGGGGGAGGGGGAGGAGGGGTCAGGGGGTCCGCTTTTGTTTTTTGTTTAAAAAAAGGTTAAATTTACGTTATCATCCTATTTTTTTTTACCGTTTTGGGGGGCTTGGGGGGGGGGGGCCGGGCCGGAGAAATCGCCACGTGGATCCGCGCATGAGTAAGGAATTACATATCATTACTCCAAACAGCACTTGAAGATGTTGATATTCTGATAGCTTTAATTACAAGTATGCACATGGCGTCTTAGATATCAGGTAAAATAAACCATCATTCAAACCAATCAAAACCAATACTTAATTCTATGAAGTACTCTATATGCATCACTGTGACAACCTAACTTCAATTAGTTATCTAGTAGTATTTATCTTAACCTTCTCAATAGATTTGTTTTCTCATTCTCTGTAGACAGATGCTGTGTATAGTTTATAACGTCTGTCAGTGTGGTTCACGTTTTTTAAATAATACAATTTAACCTTTTTATAAAGAGAATGTTTAAACAAAAACTTGTATGATAATAGTAAAATCGTGCCTTGCCAGTCCCTATACTGTGATGGTATTGTTTTGTAATTTTTTTAAAGCTTGAATGGCCTGAGTTAACAATGTACTGACAGTGTTACATTTAGAGTTGTTTGGATCCAGAAGGGCATTGATGCTGTATAACAATGATAGGAGTCAATGCCCTTCTGGCTCCAAACAGACAGAAAATGTGATTTTGTATTAGATTTCTCATTTTGTATTTACCGTTAGAGTTTCTCATTCTGAATGGAAATAATCTCCACCTTCAATATGATATCATGGAATCAACAGAGATACAAAATGAAGCATTTATAAACATGCCCAGAAGGCCAGAACTGAGTACTGAAAAGGACGTCGTAAAGCTTACAGCTTGAAGTGTATGTCGCCCTCAATTTACATGTTTAAAAACAGAATGGAGTGACTGAGACTGAGAGAGGGAAGTAACATGCCTATTACATGCAGTGTTACGGACAATGCCTTCTCGGCTCTTTTACACCTGCAGTGATACTATTATAAGGAAAAAATGACTGTTTTGAGGGGCACATTTAAAATTAAAGAAAGAGAGAACTGTGGAACAGACTACTACAGAGAAAGAGAGAGAGAGAGAGAGAGAGAGAGGGGAAAGAGAGAGAGTGAAAGGA